ATGTCCAAGTATTTAAGAAATAATTAATTCATACAATACTGCTAAATATACAACCCTAATTCATTCTCGTATTCTTCATAGCAACTTGCTCAGAAAACTTTATATTTTTATCTGACTATACTTTTCCCAAAATATCCATGATTTCTTTCTAATTTTCCACATACAGTAATGACTTTAAAAACAATCTAGGTAGAGGACCATATACTGCATGTTTCACTGCTACCCTTAAACAAAAGGGGCAAAATTGTAGGCCTTTAACAAAAGCAATAAGGAAGAAGAAACTTAAAGACAAGAATAATTAAACTAGGGGGCAGGTGTAGCACTAAGATCTAATTTTAACAGGTTTAAAATATGAACTTAATTTCAAATCAAACACCCACTTAACTCTTTTTTAAACTGAGAATATGTCATGCCAAACTCTTCAATACTTTACAGCAGGGGTAGGCAACCCCCTGGCACACGTGCCAGAGTGTGGCACACAAAGGCATTTTGCTTAGCGCACGCGCCTCAGGGCAGACAGCAGTGAAATGGCTGGGGCTGAGCTGCCATAAAACAAGGATCAAGCCCCTCACAGTTTTCCCACCACCCACTCTGGGCATACCAACATCTTACAAGTCAAGGCTGCAGGTGTTTTTGACACTGCCTAAAAATGCTGCCAACCCCTGATTTATAGCCTAAGAAATCTCAAACAATTTAGTGCACATAATATAAGACAGGGCAGAATCTGGTCCTAGGCTGAAGATAAGCTCTTTGAACTTGTAGTAGTAATGATTATTAATCCCACCTCATGGAACATTTTATCTTGTAAATAACAGCAACTAATAAAAATTACGTATTTGATTTGAACAACTTATTTTCATCAACATGCAACATTAAGAGTCAGGGTCATTTTATTATCTTTCATCTCCCACGAAGAACCTCAAACCTTCAAGAAGCTTTGTGTAGGCACAGCAGCCACTTGCACAGAGCTCATGATATTTCACTTACAGATGTTTCAGTAAATAACTTTTTACTTTTATAGTATTTACTTTAAAAATTCTATTAGCATTGTAACAGTAACTTGGCAAGATATGTGATCCAATGCTTAAGTGACAAACTGCCACACACTGAAAGTGTTTAATATAATAATTGCCATACTAAGAATAACATCCGTTTACTCCATTGATATTTCAGTAGTTATTTGTAATTGTTATATGATCCATCAACTATGGCAACATAAGCTAATAGCATGAAAGGTACTCCAAATAAACACACTCTTTACCAAGTGCACTGCATGGTAAATCAATAGAAAAATCTCTAAGTTATGTATTTGCATAGAAATCAAAATACCAGAACAGAATTCCTATGTTTAAGGTCATTCCATGATAACCCACTGCTATGCGAAGTCTGACCTTCAGCCTATACATATATGAACTGCACTAGTTTAAAGCTTATAAAATTCAGGATCGGGGCCAGACCAGCAGCAGCCCACTGAGAATTCATCTAGTCTCATAAATCTTGGCCAGTTAGGAGTCCAAAAAACAAGCATTAAGCCTAACATAGATGCAGTTTATACCATAAAAGAAAATCCTTAACATTATGAATAATTCTGTTCAAGGAACTAGTTTAATACTAGAAATACTGGCCAAAGATCTCTTTTGCTGGTAATAAGCTATAGTGCCATGAAGTCGTGAAATAGCACTACCCCCAAACTCTTAGGGTATATGGCTACAGACAGACATTACACATAAACCAGTTTAAGTCATCAGAAACTGGTTTAAACCTGTAACAGAACCGAAGTTCAGTACACAAAAAACAGTTTCAAAATAGCTGGAACTGGTTTAAGATAAACCTGGTTGAATGTAGTATCAGACTTAACTGATTTATGTCAAACCATTTTATGGAACTTCTGTCCCAGACCCCTTTCTGGTTCAAGTTAAATCACAGTACCACACTATCCCAGGAGGCTTTACAGCTGTGGGCTGGGCTGTGCTGTCTGCTCCAGCAGAGCAGGGTTGGCTCCACCCCTCCACTCTCTAACTGCAGCAGTAAGACTGGCTGACAAGGGGGTGGGGGCACAAAACCCAGTTGAGATGGAGCCCCTGCCAGACTTATCCCCTGCTGAAGTGGAGGGGGTGGGAGCATGGGCCAGCAAGCTCAAGGGAGGGAGGGGAGTTTAACCCCCCTCCATGGCCCATGGGACCTCAGTCTGGGTCTGCGTTATGTGGGGGTGGGAAACAGGGGATGGGGGACAGGGACACATGACTGTCATGCTTCTGCCCCCCATCCCACCTGGCTCCTTGCTTGAGCAGGGAAGAAAGAGGGCAGCCCCTACCAGGGTTTTCCCCTCTCCCCCCACTGGAGTGGAGAGCAGGGGAGAGGCCACACCTCAGCCAGGGCAACAGAGTAAGGCAGGGAAGGGGGATTTAATCCCTCCTCCCTCCCACCCTTTGCCTCAGAGCACTGGCCCAGGGCCAGCACCTGACCATGCCACCCATTTTGTGAAAAACTAGCCAATGGTAATGGTAGCTGGATTATATACCTTACCTTGCATGCATTCCTTGCATCTCCCCCACCCCCAGGTCTTGGGCCTCAGGAGACCTACAACTGCCTTAACTACAGTCTTCCATTTCATCCTTTCGTGCAATCCCCCTCCAGCTATCCTCTCCAGATCCACTTTTACATCACCTTCCCACCATTGCCTTGGTCTGCCTCAAGGTCTGATACCCTTTTCACCCTGGGTAAACCAGCCATTTTTAGTATGCTACCTACCCTGCAATAAATGAGATTGAAAACCCAACCCATTGGGAAAGATCAACAAAAAAAAAAAATCAAATCAATAACATTACTACTTGGATGTCAAATGTATTAACACTTCTTTAGCTTTGAGTTAAATCCATGCAGCTACAGCTGCTTCTTTAATTCCTCTTCCCAACAAATGCTACAAAGCACCAGGACGTCTATAAGAGCACTAAGTATTTTTAAGCC